CAGTGCTAGCTCATTGTTTGGTTTCTTGTGTATCAGTTTCTGTCGTGCCTTTCTAAAGTCTAGGCGAATTCGAGACCGTACCATTCTATGGGCACTGCATCGTACCTTGCCAACCACTTCCACATCCTGCACGATGCCTGGGTGTGCACTCATTATAAAGTCTATTTAGTTCTCATTTTCGCCATTAGGGCTCCTCCATGTCCACTTGCGGTTTCCTCGTTTTTGGTAGAAGGTATTCAAAATCCGTAAATTATTGCGTTCTGCGAATTCTACTAGTAGCTCTCCTCTGGCATTTCTAGTACCGATGCCATAATCTCCCACTGCCTGGTCTCCAGCCTGCTTCTTTCCTACCTCTGTATAAACTTCTATATGCAGGATGTCTATCCAAGCTGACATTTCAAAATTCCTCTCGTTTTCCCCCGAGTGATTTTGCTAGGATTCCCTAAGTCAAACAACTTCTTTTTTTTTTGTCAAGACAGGCTGACACTCTGTCACATGTATGCTATAGTATGTTCGTTAAAAATAAAACTGACTTAATCTCAATAAAATAGTACAAAGTATGCTTAGACCTCGAAATAGCTAAGTCAGTAAAATTGAAAATTAACATCGTTATATGAAACTTTCTGAACTGAAATTAGTCTTTTCAAGCAAAGTATACTTGCTGAAGGATCCTTTACACTTGAATTACTGAAACAACGCTCAAATTACGAGACAGCTTGAAAAACTTTTCTTTTTCTTTAATGTGAAAAAAAAAATGATTTCATAGAACCTCACATACTGCAACAATGGCTTGATGCTGCAACGGTGCGGCATGCGTAAGCACAAAATAACCACTAGTTTGATGCACAGTGTCGCTGCACCTATTCTGTTGCCGCTGTTTGTTATCAGAATGTTGGGTGTTGCCTGCAGTAGTGCAACACCGATGCTGTCACGGTACTCAGCTGAGCCATTTGCTTTCCACTCAGTCCAACAAAAGCACAACTGCACATTGCATGCTAGAGGAAAGAAAGGTTGCAGTTTCACTGCAAGGCTAAAGCAATTGACTAGATCACAAATTGGAACGTTGAATGAAAATAGGCTACAGTGCAAACAGGGGCGTAGCGTAGCTAGAAATTCTTCACAGGGGAGGAAGATACTTAATCATGCTTTACATATGTTCGCGGTACATTTGTATCTGTTTGTGTACTTAAACACATACAAACTAAAAAGTTTTGGAGTAATTTGAACCTCCCAAACCTATGCTTTTGCTCTCTCTCCCCTCCCATCTAGCTGTGCCAGTTATAGCAGCTCACTACTATAAAAACATGGTCGCTGTAGCTAAGAGATCTGTCTGTATTTTCTATGGAAACATTGCGACCAGAGCACAACAGTTACAAAGGTATGAGCCGTCTGCCCACCACTCTAAACATTAAAGTGATGTGAGGGTAATATGTTCATTTGGCAGTGAATTGGGACTTCGCGAGAGTGCGGATTTCCCCTAAATAGGCGCTTCACGGCTTAGAACCCCTTGACTACTGTGAAACCACCTTTACAAAATGTTGCATGTAAACTGATATAAATAGGTGCTTTCACTGCTTAGCATCTTTCCACTCCAATGAAACAATCTTTGCAGGGGAGTCGCATGCGACCATAATATACACCTATTTGTTCATTTCGCATACTTCAAAATTTTCATTATAATTAAATTCGAATCAAAGCAACTTGAAATATTTGAAGCATTTGAATATTCGCACATGCTTAGAAAAATGTGGTAACAAAATGTCAAGGCAGCGTTATAGACTTCCATTTGCTTAAAATGAAGTTAGTGAATTTCTCTAATGGGAGCCCTATTTCCTTGAATTTTCTCCAAGTTTTTCCAGACCATCAGAAATCCCTGAGAATTCCTGGTCTTCCAGGTCGGTAGACATTCTGCATATGGTTCAACGGCCCCATCAAAAGATTGTAACATGACTTTCTATGACAGTGAAGGTGCTCCAATTCGGCCATGTGGCTGTAGAACATGGTATAAAACTCAGCATGAAAACGACATGAAAGAAATGAAGGAGACCGGGCAGTGCTCTATGCTGTCTCCTCTATTGCTTTCCTGTCGTTTTTTCACTGTTAATGCATAATTGAAAGGCCCAAATTTTGGTGGCATTGCACCTTTAACAGGATAAAATCACTACAGTTAAAGCTTGAGCTAATGAAGCCAGATGTTTCTGAAGTAAAGAAAAGATTTCCATTCCCCAACAGGTATCAATTAGGTTAAATGGTGCCATCACCCCTAATTAGCAATATGAACTTAACCACCACAACAAACAAAACATTTCCTTTAATAAATGAGCAAAGAAGTGGTCATTTCTTTTTAATTTTGATGGAGGAATGTTCGAGCAGACGAACCACTTATATCAGTAAAAACGTCTTGACACCTTAGACAATAGATAGATATGTGGGGTTTAACGTCCCAAAACCAGCATATGATTATGAGAGTAGCCGTAGTGGAGGGCTCCGGAAATTTTGACCACCTGGGGTTCCTAACGGCACCCAAATCTGAGCACACGGGCCTACAACATTTCCGCCTCCATCGGAAATGCAGCCGCCGCAGCCGGGATTCGATCCCGCGACCTGCGGGTCAGTAGCCGAGTACCTTAGCCACTAGACCACCGCGGCGAGGCTTGACACCTTAGACAAGGCCTTAACTTTATTTTAACAAGGCTGTCAGTCACACCCATTACAGAACAAGCTCCTCAGTCAATATTGCTCTTATGAGCTAGATGATGCTAGGGGTCATAGTAGTTCCTCTGGTTATTTCATGGCACATGCCTGACAGCCTCCTTGCAAATTTCTTGCTCAGCCTGCTTGCACAATCACTGCATTCATTCTCCTCCTCTTTACAGCATGTCATGGTGCTATGTGCCAGTCAATCTGACCTCTATCGCTTGGACGTGGAGCCCCACCATGTCATTGCTGCTCATGTGGGACTTTTCAAAGATTCACACGCATAGGTGTGGGTCATTAGCAATGCAATGCTGATAGCTTTTGTGGGTCAGTAAGTTACAATTTTATTAGATTTAAAAGGGCTGAAAAGCCTCTTTGTAGATTTTATAAATTTTACAATTCAAAACAATTTGAGCAGAGACATCCCTTCGTTGATTTAAATCAAGTTTAAACTGCACAAATTGCATGGGAATTAACATACAATGGCAAGGCATTTATATGCAAATATGTATTTTCCAATAGTTGACTGCGTTACAAGTAGTACACGCACACTTTTCACATCTGCCAATAACTATTTAAGTGAGACCAGTTCTCTGTTTACTGTGGCACACTTGCCCAAAACAAAAATTTAAATGCATCGAACTTTTGCCTGCAAATATCAATTTAGCGAATGAGCATCTAAAACTTAAGAAAACCATTATGCGAAAATGAGAGATGCGGCGATGATGGGCTCCAGGTAACTAGACCACCTGGGGTACTTTAACGTGCACCTGAATCTAAGCTCATGAGCCTCTAGCTCATGAATTTCCCTCCATCGAAATTCTGCCGCAGCTCGAATTCGATCCCACAACTTTCTCGTTGGCAGACAAGCACTATAACCACTCGACTACCAGGTGGGGGCAAATTAAGTGAAAATGACAACTAAACACACGAGCAAGCAAGCAAACCCCAGTGTTAATAGCAGCAGGCAACCGTAGCTTGCGCTTGCCCGGATTTAGGCTGCTTGACGCCCGGCACTCTACTCGTGACATTGGCTAGGTGGTGTATAGCTGTGTAGAATGTTCTACATGACATCTCCCAAATTTTGTTCAAGTCAATCTGTACCGTGTCACTAACACTACAAAACATGACAACATAATGTCAGCAGCCTAACTGATCTTCTTTGATATTTTCAAAATTTGAAGGCCTAGAAGACTGGTAATTGATCTTTTTTAGCATATTGCTTTAGCAACAGTTATACTATAAGTGATGCAAATACCATAACTTGTTTTAGTGATTCATTCACTATAATTAAAATTAAATAGGACAAAATGCAATAAACCAATATTGGCTGCATGATTTTAGAACATTACATCAATCCCCTTCTACCGTCAAGATGTTGTGACCTTTTTTCTAGCACGATATTCATTTTGTCAAGTACAAATCAGTAACTACAATGTGCCACAAAAATTCCACATGTGCCTGGGCTAACCAGCAACAAATCAGTATGTCTGTGGCAACCAAAAGTTTTGATCTGTACATTCGTAGTGGCAGGTTTCTTAAACATATCTTATGCAAACGTTTACACGTAATTTAATTGGGACCCATTAAATTTTTTCTGCTTTTTCACCAGCAAAATGCTATGGTTACCAATAATATGGTACAGTCACGAGCATATATGGCATAAATATTGACCAAGCAGACATGCATGGTGAATTCTGATACGAATCTCAATTTTTCAAGCGTAGGACAGCATTTCATTTCCTTGTACTTCAATATAACTCGCCTCTGCAAATGCTGTGACGAAATACATTTACTCCACCACCGTTGATGCATAGAGCACCCGGGGAACCACATCACTTGGTGAAACTGAATTAAAGCGGTACAATATACGTACTCATGACGGTTACGTTTGCTCCTTATTTTCGATCTTCGGTGACTTCGTCAACTGCGCATCTATAATCTGCGACTATTCCTCTCGCTGTACTACTGCTGTAACCGAAGGTCAAAATCAAATAGCAGAGTACGGGCGATGTGGGGGTAGCGGCTCATATAGCGCGAAAGCGTCGTCTGGCTGCCGACTCAAGGCATCGTAAGAGCCCGCAACCACAGTGCCACGACTGCAACTGCGCTAAAAAATAGCAAGCGAGTACAAACAGCGAATTGTCGTACAATAGCACTCTAATAAGTGGCGTCTTTGACAACAATTTTCAGAAGACATGTCCCGCGCGCACAACCGCAGCTAGGCTTAGCACATCATGTTTTTTTTACAATGCTGATTTACAATGACAACAAAAAGCAGGCTGATTACACACACTCTCTACCTATTCTCACCTCCTTAAACTTCAAGTACCGCTCGTTTTTACAAAGACGAGCGTGATTTTCCGGACACAGGCAGCAAGACAAATCGCTCCAACTTGGCGGTCAAGATCGTCGCTTTTCGCAAAAAACTTCTGCTCGCTGATTGTTGCCACCAGGAAAAAAATTCTGCCAAAGAACACCTACGCCTGCTACAGACACTGTAATATTTATTTATTTACTATATATTTATATATTGTACATTTTGAGCAAGCACCCGATAAAGCTTTATTATGGTATGAACCCCCTCCCCCCACCTCACTGCTGCCTCACATGATGAAATCACAGCCAGTCACATTGTTCGTGGTTGTTGCTGACATCCCAATAAAATGGTGTCGATGAATGATGCAGTGCAGTCAGCAGAATGGCATTGTGACATGCGAATCGTAGTGACCATATCTTTCTCCCTTCATGGATCATATAGAGCAAATTGTGAGCAGTCTGCATTGAATTCTGCTGGTAGCCAAACACAACATAACCGTAATACCGGTGTCACACGGACACTTTTTAATCGCGAATAGTCTCTATCCGGGCTAATCATGATCCGGTTTAGGTGCTGCTACACGGTCACCTTAAATCACGATCAGGCGTGATTCGAATCAAGATTATCGCGATCCACGCATTGCGATCTGTCTGAGAGACCGCTGTTTCGATGTCGTCTGCACACCGTGGCTGGGCTTGTTCAAAGCACAATAAACAAAAAATCAAGTATAGTTCAATAAAAACACTTTAAACAACTAAGTTTTTATAAAAAAGAAAATTCTAAACTGTTTAAATTGGAACAATATCTGAAATATTGCATATATTGTGATTCGTAACGACCGCTTGTAGTTACGGGAGGTTACGGGAGAAGCAGACGACCATTGCCTTCCGCGCTTAGTTCAACTCTCGCACCGCCAGAGCTGAGACTTCTCGACTACGTCGCAACGCACGCGCACTTCGTGGTTGAATGAAGAGACCTAAATATGCAGGAACTGACCACTGGCAGGAGCATCTCGAACACTTGAGGTGCCAGAAGTGAAAGCGCGTACAAGAAGATTGACGCTTCGCTGTGACTGGACGGCTATGAGCGGGGGCCATGAGAAACAAAAGCGAAGATCGAGAATCTCACACAGCAAAGTACATGCAAGGAGAACTCTATCAAATGATGCTTTATTTAATTATAGATACTTTCGTAGCAGCACGCGAAGTTTTGACGTTGGAGCGGTTCTTGCACGAATAACAATAATGATACGCCGAGTTTTGCCCGGGACGTGTTTTGCTGCACTCAAGCGCCATTTGGCATTTCATCTGACCCAAGCTCAAACTAGACAGCAGTTAAGCCATTCTGATCTCACTTTGAGAAAAATCGTATGGTTTTCTATAAGTACTGCAAAACCAGAACCACCACAAAGGTGTTATACCATGATTTGGTTCTATAACAATTACTTCATTTTACGGGTGTAAGGATTTATTTTATATTATGAATGAATGAACGGAAGGATTCAACATGTATTATAGTTCAAAAGAGACGGTTAAAGTAAGTCTGCATATATTGGGCATGTGTGTGGTGGGGAAGTTGGGGCCTGGGGTGGGAGAGAATAAAGCCTTGTAAAATGGGGAGGAGTAAAGAGCACAAATGCAAGTATTAAGCAAAAAGTCTCGATAGAAAAAGCGAAAAGAGAAAAATGAGCCGGAACGGAGGAAAGGAGATAAAAAGAGGGGGAAAAGAATAAATAGTAAATAAAATGCAATAAACCCATAGCTATAGGATGGCTACTTGGGCTGGTTGGTACTGCATTCTTAAAGGAAACCCCCTTTTTTGTAAGTTGAACTGAGTTCATTCTATCCTATCTCAACATTTCTTGAAACGTTTTTGCACACACACAAAAAAAAATGTTTTCCTTCAGGAATTCGGAATTGCTTCGCAGGATCCCAACCATAGCTGGTACCTACGTTCCAATTAAACGCGAGCATCTGAACCGCTGAACACGCATTTAAGGGAACGGTATGTCTATGGGCAACAGAAGGAGAAAATATGGAAGAAAAAAACAGAAACAAAGTGATAGGAATGGAGAGAAAAAAAGGAAAGAAGAAAGCGGATCATATAGCTATAGTGAGCTAAGAGGTGGGGTAACCAAGCTAGCTGATCATGACTTGGAGCAGGCTTTTGGCCGAAAGCGAGACAAATCTATAGATGCAAATTTCTGAAATTTGAGCGATCGGGAAAAAACCTGTTTTCTTCACGTTTTTTTTCTGAAATTCTGGAAACAATGTAAAATAACACATTTTCTTCAGCATATGACAATAGTTTATTGCCATATGGTAATAGTTTATTGCCAAGTGTCAAAAGCAATAACTTTCCTTATGTAAATAACCAAAATGAATGATTTCCCTCTTTTCAGAAACGAATACGACATTTAACAGCTAGATTGAAGGCAGGCCAGAAGCATCACCAAACCCTTTAGCTCTCTGTGAAAGAATGCGGCTTCCTAAAATTGTTATAGCAGTTCAAATAGAGAACCCAGAAATATCAAATTCGTCGTGGTTGCAACTATATGAAAACATTGATGAAGATGAGAAAAAGATTAAGTCCAAACTCTTATTCAGAGTCAGTATCATTAGCTTCATCTGTAGCTTTCTTCATTGTGTTAAGAACTCGCATTGGGACAAGCGTAGCTGCTGTTGCAGTGCTTACACACAGCGAGTCCCCGTTTTCCACCAATGGTCTCCTCAACCTAGTGCATTCACATGTAAGAAATACCCCTACCATTACAGAATCTGCTTGCACATGCTTTTATAAATGGACTTTCGTTACAGGTTGCGTACGAGGGAAAGTCAAAAGCTAACAATGACAGGTACCAAATCATCAGAAACCACCCTCAACATGACCACACCCGAAGAAGAAAACAACGCTATAGATTGAAGCTAAGCTTACGCTGCAGCTGACTTTATGAGTTGTCAAAGGCAATTGCCGGTGTTTGGGGTTTTGGTTTCACGTGCGACGTTTCGGCTTCATGTTCCATGCAGCGTGTTGCCTAAGCTTTATTTCTGTATGTTTCACGCCACATAAGTTCGGGCGAGTTTTCACAGCTGCGTTGAGAGAAAAGAAAAATTTACTGAATTAAGCTTGTGAGTGAAGGTGGGAGGGTCCCTTACTCCAGTAACCCTCTGGCCTGGACAGTCCGCTGGGCTCGAGCGACGAGTTGACGCTTCTCGACCATGTCCAGCTGGGATTCCGCAGCCTCCCACGCTTCACTGAGGAGGTCTTGGTCCACACGTGGTGCTGCTGCTTGTAGCCTTGGGACGCTTACTGTGCACTGCAGTAGGTGGTGCGCCAGAGTGTCTGCCACATTGCAGCGAGGACAGATGTAGCTGTGCAAAGTTGGCCTCATATGGTGCAATAGTATGCCGTGGGTGAAGGTGTTTTGATTTGAGACGCCTGTAGTCAGTGGCTTCGTCTTGTGAGTTTTCGATGTGGCGGAGGGTATGACCTGCGTTCAAGCCGATAATGTTGCAGCAATGCATGATACGTTAGTGGTACGGGTTCTCTTGCCTCTGCTTCTGTTGTTGTGTGGGAGGTGCCTCGGATCTCGTGCGGGAATGACCGGTGACGCATTCGCGGGCCACGGTGTGTGCCGCTTCATGACCCCCAAAACCTTCATCACCTGGAATCCACACAATGCATGTGTATGGAGGAAGGTTGTCTATGTGCTTTAGTAGCCTTATTGCTACCGTGGAGACCCTGCCTTCAGGTACTTCCGTGCCGCTGTTTGCGACTCGGTAAAGACCATGATTGGATCCTCATCATCTGGGTGGCGAGTGCCATAGCAGCCTCTTCAGCTGTTTCCGCTCGTTTGGCGAGGATAGTCGCTGATGCCAGTACGGTGCCCTTGTAATATGTGACGTAATCGTGAAGGCGTGAAGCCCCGGATATTTGGCAGCGTCCAGGTATCGCGCCAGCGGGTCATTGCCATAGTTTTTTCCGGATCATGTTAACCCTGGCGAGCCGCCTTGCTCGGTGATATTGAGTATTCATGGGATCTCCTGAATTTCCAGGCATTCTCGGAGCTGTGACGGTATTTTGCCTTTGCGTTTTTCGTTGGGTTCTACGGTGGTCTCGTATGCTGTGTGTCGAAGGATGGCTTGACCTGTGAGTGACAGCTTGAGTCTCTCGACCTAGTTGATGAGGTGTGCTTCGGTGAGTTCTTTCTACGTATTGTCAACTCTCATGCGAAGCGATAGGTCAGTGGAGGCGGCTGGCGGCAGTCCTAGGAAAAGCTTAGTAGCCTTTCCTAGTTTTAGTTTCTCCGCTGGTTTCAGGTTGAGGTTGGGAGTTCTGTACGCTATGCAGCTGTTGAAGAGAGCTTGTACCATTTTTAGAGTGTCGTGCTCTTTGAAGCCACTGCAGTTGTTAGCACCTTTTGGATTAGGTAACGATGCTTCATTTTTTTCTTAAACTCTATTCCTTGAGATTTAATAACAATTCCTCTGACAAAGTTGAGTGTATTACTATTATTTCGGTGGAAAGTTCCGCATTTATTGCTCATCAACTGGTCTGAGCCCTACACAAAGCTCTTTCATTGTTCCATTCTGCAAGGAGAAGAAAAAGTGTAACATGTTTAGAGCACTTAATCTTCCCCTTCTTTCTTCTTCTTGGTTATAAAAAGTCATTCTTGTTTGTCATATATATGGATGCATCGATTGCTTGAAAACAAGTGCACAGTTTCACATCACAAATCGATGCATGGTCTCTCTTTTTTGTGATGTAAAAATGAAAAATTCAAAAGATCATTCTTTCTTAGGCCGTATACTAATTAGAACTAATGAACAATAATATAATAAACGTTATTGTCTGCTCTTCTCATTAGTGTTATGTAGTAATGATAAAAACAGTACAGATAGTCAATATTTGGTACAAAACTTGTCTGTCTATGCAATTTTTTTATTTTAACTCGTGGTGTTTAGTTTTTTTACTAAATCTACCGCAAATGGTGTCTTAAAGTTACGTGCGCTCAACCTTCAGTGACACTGAGAGCACACTATCTAAATTGTGCCTCGCATGCAGAAAAAATGAGACGTGGGTGCTAAGGTATCCAGTTAGCATGCAAAGCATCAGGCACATTCTT